TGGGAAACACAATTTCCTGTGGAAAAAACCGCACTCGATGGGCTGGACCTGCGTTTCCCATGATTTGAATTCAGAATTTCGTGAAGCGCAGTTTCCCAGATCTCAAATTCCGAATTCTTTGATACGCAATTTCTTTTGAAAAACCGCACTCGCTGGGACGGAATTGCGTTTCCCATATTGGGAATTTGAATTTCGAGACGCGCGGTTTCCCAGAATTTGAATTTCGAATTATAGGACATGCAATGAAAACTGTTTCGTTGGGCTGGAATTGCGTTTCCCATATTTTCGAATTAAGGGAAACGCGATTTCTGTTGACAATCCGCACTCGATGGGCTTGAATTGCGTTTCCTCTAGTTGGAATTCAGAGTTTCCGGAAACGCTGTTTCCAAGAATTCAAATTCCGAATTGTGGGAAACGCAATTTCTTTTGAACAACCACACTCGTTGGAATGGAATTGCGTTTCCCCTGCTTCGGAATTATGGGAAACGCATTTTCCTTTGAAAAACGATACCCAATGGGCCAACATTCCGTTTCCCATAATTCGAACTCCGAAATTCGCGAACGCGGTTTCCCAGAAATTGAATTCCGCATTATGGGAAACGCAATTTCTTGTGAAACAACAGCACTGAATGGGCTGGAATTGCGTTTCCCATAATTCGGAATTTGAATTCTGGAGCACGCGATTTCCCAGAGTTCGAATTCCGAAGTCTGGGATACGCAATTTCTTTTGAAATTCTGCACTCGATGGGCCGGAATTGCGTTTCCCATAATTCCGAAAAGTTGGAAACGCAATTTCTTTTGAAAAACCGCACTGCAGGTCAAGGTTAAGCCTGCATGCCCGCGAAGGGGCGGCCGCTTAGGGCACAGGCGGGTGAAAACTAGTAGACGCTCATGTGGTGAAGAAAATCCCCTGTCATACAATTCCAAGAATGTGGGTCTTTGGCTCCTACTCTCCAGTCGCCGATCCTGTACTTGTCGCAGAAACACTGGACATCAGATTCCCACGTCTTCCGCGGCCTCCCTTGGGACCTGTTCCGGCAGGTGACCATGAAAGAACGCGCGACAGCCATCTGTCGGCAGGCAGGTTGGCGACGTACCCGGCGAAGTTCGAGCATTTGCGAAGCAATGCTTCCGATCAGAATTTGGCCCGAGTGCCTTGCAACTTGTCCGTGACACGCTCGTGCCACACGTGCAATATCTCATGCCATGGGCGGGTCCAGTCGACCCCGCCTGGCGGCCCGACAACGTGTCGAAGAAGCTTGCGACGCGCAGCGTCCAGCTTTTCCCTTTCGGCTGCATAGACCACGCGGTGAGCAGAACCAAACATGGCAATCGGGGTGATGACGGCATGGAAGTAGCTCAAGCGCAGCTCAACCGGCACATGCTTCGCTGCGAAGATCCACCGGTTCGCGAAGAAAGCCTTTGTAGCAGCTTGAGGATGGTATTCCTGGTCCTGGTTCGAAACGTCGGTCGACAGAATGCATCCTAACCATTCGTGAGAGTTCGTACGTTTGATATACACCGGAGGGGAGCAAGAGTTTGTCCGGCGGTTGCGCCTCGGTCGTCAGGGCTACAGTTTTGTCGGCGTTCAGCATCAGGTCAACTGCGGCGAGCCCCTCAACCAGCGACGTCAGACGAGTCGCGGCCTCTTTTTGCGATTTCGAGAAAAGTAATATGTCGTCAGGAAATTGTACATCCAATAGTCGCCGTAACACGTCGACGTTTCAGCCGAGCTCAATGGGCTGGAATTGCGTTTTGCATAATTCGGAGTTCGAGCTACGGGAAACGCAATTTCCTGCGACAAAAAACCGCGCTCAATGGGCCAGAATTGCGCTTCCCATAATTCCTAATTAAGGGACACGCAGTTTCTTTCGAAAAGCGGCACTCAACGGGCTGGCATTGCGTTTCCCATAACTCAGAATTCGAATTTGGGGAATTGCGGTTTCCCAGAATTCGAATTCCGAATTATGGGCAACGCAGCGTCCCTTTGCAAAACCCGCACTCAATAGGCCGGAATTGCGTTTCCCACACTTCCAAATCATGGGAAACGTTTTTTCTTTTGAAAAACCGCACTCGGTTGGCTGGAATTGCGTTTCCCATACTCCGGAATTTTAATTTTGGGAAGCGCGGTTTCCCAGAATTCGAATTCTTAATTATGGGAGGCGCAATTTCTTTTGAACAGCCGCGCTCAATGTGCCGGAATTGCGTCTCCGATAATTCCGAATTGTTGGAAACGCGATTTCTTTCGAAGAACGGCACTCGATGGGCTCGGAAGTCAAATTCTGGGAAATGCGGTTTCCCATAGTTCGAATTTCGACTTATGGGGCACGTTATTTCCCGTGGGAAAACCGCACTCGATGGGCCGGAATTGCGTTTCCCATAATTTACATTTTTGGGGGAATTGCAATTTCAGATGACCAAAAAAGGCGTTCGCTGGGCTGGAGTTGCGTTTCCCGTGGTTCCGAAGTCGAATTATGGGAAACGCTTTTTCCGGGATTTCGAATTCCGAATCATGGGACACGCAATTTCCATAGAAAAAATTGCTTCAATTTGCCGGAATTGCGTTTCCTATTTTTCCGAATTATGGGAAAGGCAATTTCCGTTGAAAAATCATTCGGGCTATAATTGCGTTTCCCAGCATTCAAAATTCGAATTGTGGGAAACGGGGTTTTCCGGAATCTGACATCTGAATTATGGGAAACGGAATGTTCTTTTGAACAACCGCATTCTATGGGCCAGAATTCGCGTTTCCCATAATTCCGAATTATGGGAAACGCATTTTTCAGCAACGGCACTCAATGGGCTGGAATTGTGTTTCCCATATTTCGGAGTTTGAATTTTGGGAAAGGCGGTTTCTTAGAATTCGAAATCTGAATTATGGGACATGCCTTTTTTTCAGAACACGCCGCACTTTATTAGCCCGAACTGCGTTTCTCGTAATTTCGAATTTTGGGAAGCTCTTTTCCTTTTGAAAAAGCAGCACTCGGTGGGCCGGAATTGCGTTTCCAAGAATTCGAATTCTGGGAAACGCGGTTTCCCAGAATTTAAATTCCTATAATGCCGAATAGTGGGAAACGCATTTTTTCTGTTTCTCTCTCTCTCTCTCCCTTTCTCTCTCTTTCTCTCTCTCTCTCTGTCTCTGTTTATATATATATATACATATATATATAGAAAATACATTTAATGGGCTGGAATTGCGTCTCCCATAATTGCGATTTGGAACGATGGGAAGCGCAATTTCTTTTTTTTTGAAAGACCGCACCCAATGGGCCGCAATTCGGTTTCCCATGATTCCGAATCATGGGAGACGCATTTTTTCGACAAGCTGTATTCACTTGGCTAGAATTGCGTTTCCCATCGTTCAGATTTCGAATTCAGAGGAACGCGGTTTCCCAGAATTTGACTTCCGAACTATGGGAAGCGCAATTGCTTTTGAGAAGCCGCATTCGATTGGCCGGAACTGCGTTTCCCATAATTCCGAAGTCTGGGAAACGCAATTTTCTTTGAACAGCGGCACTCGACGGGCTGGCATTGCGTTTCCCATATTTCGGAATTTCAATTCTGGGTAACCGCGTTTCCCAGAATTCGAATTCCGAATTATGGGAAACGCAATGTCTTTTGAAAGACCGCGCTCAATGGGCTAGAATTGCGCTTCCCACACTTCCGAATTATGGGAAGCGCACCCCCCCTCCCAGAAAAAAACATTGCACTCGATGGGCTGGAACTGCGTTTTCCACAATTCGGAGTTCGATTTCCGGGAACATGCGTTTCCCGAAATTCGGAATTCGAAAATGCAATTCCAGCCCATCGAGTGCGGTTTTTCAATGGAAATTGCTTTGCCATAATTCGAAATTCGAATGATGGGAAAACGCGTTTCCAGTGCAATATGTAATTGGAGCAGTCGTCCGGAATTGCGTTTTCTATCATTTGTATTTATGGGCAACGAAATCCCGGACGATTGCCGACGACGTCTCCTGAGCACAGCCGCGGGCCAAGCGGGCCTTCCCCGCTTCCGGGGCGAACAGGAGCTGCGGCGCCATTCGCGTGCTTCCCTCACCGGCGCCGTTCTGTGCGCCACCCCTGCCGTTACTCTCTTCAGGACGCGCCGGTTTTTTCCATTGTGTTGGCTTAGCCGCCCCTCCGCGGCCCACCGCCGTCGCCCCGCGGCGCCTCTCGTGGGCAGGGCGCACGTCCATGTCCACGGCCTTGTGGGCGGGGCCCCTGGGCCGCGAACCCATGGATGCGGGGGCGCTGTTTCGCGGATGCCCTGCGCGGAGCGTGCAGTGGAAGCCCATGCCAAGAAGCGCCTTGCTTGCCTCCAGGGTGTCCTCTGGGTGTCTTGGGTTTCTGTTGGTTCTTCTCCGGGACACGTGACACCAAAAATCAGTGGACGTCCCGGGGTCTCAGGGTTGGGTTCCGTGTGGGAGGTTCCTTGTGGTCAGGCCCCTACTCTACTGTATCCTTGCGACCGTACGGGGTCGCGCCCCCTGGAGTCGAGACCGCGATCGGCGCCGATGTGGATCTGTTGACTCCTGTGCTCGCCGCTCGTGGCTCCGCCTTTGCCGCCCCCCTGCGACCCCCATCTGGGGGATCTCCTTCGTCTGTAGCCTCCTTTTTTTCTTGGCGTGGGCGGAGGAGGTGGGCGAGGAGGCGGAACGAGGAGGAGGAGGAGGATGAGGAGGAGGAATACAAGGAGGAGAATGAGGAATACGAGGAAGAGGAGGACTACGAGGAGGAGGAGGGGAAGAGAGAGAGGAGGTGGAGGTGGAGGAGGAGGAGGACGAGGAGGAGGGAGGAGGAGGAGGAGGAGAGGAGGAGGAGGGGGAGGAGGAGGAGGAGGAGGAGGAGGAATACGAGGAGGAGGAATACGAGGAGGAGGAGGAGGAGGAGGAGGAGGAGGAATGCGAGGAGGAGGAGGAGGGAGCGCCTGTCCTCATCATCAGGGCAACTGCCCCTTCTATGCCTGCCCCTCTTATGCTCCCCCGCCCCGTTCCGCAGAGGCCCACGGCGATCACCTTCGGGGCCGGCGTGCTCGCGTGCCGACGCCCTGCGGGGGGGCGCTGGGGGAAGTAGGGGAGGGCTGGGGCCTACAGTGAAAACCCATGGCAAGAAGCACCCTGCTCGCCTCCAGGGTGCCCTGGGTTTCTTGGGTTTCGACGATTTTGCTATGGAAAGCGTGGCGCTCCCACACCAGACATCAGTGACCGTCCTGGGGTCTCAGGATTGGGTTTCTTGTGGGAGGTTCCTTGTGGTCGGGCCCCTACAGTCGGGGCCCTGAAGAAGGAACCCTTTTGGTTGGGGAGGGGCTCCGCGTTCCGTAAGTGTTTCGCAGCTTGCCCCAGTTTTCCCTTATGTTTCCGGTGGGAAATCGCAGTCGAACTTCTGGAAAACAGGGGCCTCGTTCCTTATTTCGGGTTCCTTAGGTCAAGGCCCCGACTGTACTGTATCCCGTGGCATCCGTCGGGGCCGCGCAGCCATGGCTCGGGGCGTGTGGATCAGCGACCGGCCTCGCCTCCAGCGCGGAATCGGCGCGCTCCGTCGCCAGGTCTGGCGCCCGCCTGCCGGGCCCACGGATGCCAGCGAGCGCCCGAGGATGGGCCCTGTGGCGCGTTAGCGGGTCCACTGGGCCTTGTGGGCCCTGGAAGCGGCAGGGCCGTTTTTGCACCGTTTCCGAGAAGGTGTCCCTTGAAAGTGGAAACGGCAACAAAAACGGCGACCGGACACGGCAAAGAAACGGCTCCTGGATTGGAGCCGGAGCCGGAACCGGTCAGAAAACGGCGACGGAACCGGTAAAACAACGGCGTCGGAATTGGTAAAAAAACGGTAAAACGGAACCGGTAAAAAAACGGCCTTGTCGTTTCCAGGGCCCACTAAGCCACTGGGTCCCCTGACTTCGGGGTGCTGCGAAGCAGCGCCGGCATAAGTTTTTGTTTACCACTTTCGCTGCCAGGGCCGTTTCTGTGCCGGCCCCTGCGGGCCCGCAGCAGCAACGACTTGCTGCGGAGAGACGGGTTCTTGAGGGATGGGGTCGAGAGTTTCGGGGGCCCGCGTCGCGAGAGGCCCATCGTTGGAGGTCTGGGTCTGTGCCCATCGCCGAGGGAAGGCATGGAGCTGCTTCTCCGGTCCTGATCTCGTGCAGAGTCGTCGTGCGGCCATCGTTCGCACAGGCCCCCGTGTTCGTCTGACAGATCGGTTGGCTTCTGGCCTCGTCAACGTTGCGGTGGAGTGAGCTCGTTTTGTTCAGCCGCCGTTCGCGCACCATTCAGAGCAACAAAATAATGGGAGCCTAGCCAGACGGCGCAGCGCAGTGCTTCACCCCACTACAGTTGAGACCCATGCCAAGAAACACCCTGCTTGCCTGCAGGGTGCCATGGGTTTCTTGGGTTTCGATGGTTTTGCCATGGAAAGCGTGACGTCCCCACACCAAGAATCGATGGACTCCCTGGGATCTCAGGGTTGGGTTTCTTGTGGAAGGTTTCTTGTGGACTGGCCTCCACTGTACTTCCGGGCGGATTCGGATTGCAAGGCCAGTGATTTGATCCTCCAAAGTGATGTTCTGATTGATTTGTCTGCATGCTCCTGCTGAGACATCGTCATGTGCGTGCGTGTTTTTGTGCACTGGCGTTGCCAGTTCGATGTGCTTGCTCGTGTAGCCTTCGTCATAACCCTATTCGAGTACGCCCCCCCTGGAACGGAAGTGGGACCGCTCCCCCAGTTTGATGCTGCACTGCGATGGTGCCGTGGTGGGCGGTGCGAAGATAACCGGCAGGCCCAGCGGAGCAGCCGCTAGCAAAGCAGCGCCCGGGAGGCAGGACTCAGCATCGTTGAACCTACCCGTGTCCCAATCCCCATCCCTACCCAGACCCCCACCATCTCAGCACTCCAGTTGGGGACATGCCCTTCGAAGCCCGAGAGAGACAGCCCATGTCCCCATCTTGGTGGGGGGGTAAGTCGGCCAGTGAGGCACAGGCCACGCCCAACGCCCATGGGGATAGGAGTCGGTCAGACGATGCTCAAAAGGAAGCGTGTGACCACGGGCGCGGGCGAAATTGTGTTTTGGCGATTTCGTGGACCGCTGTTGCTTTGGTATGGTTTTCAGCAGAGGCGGGACGAGGAGAGCACGAGGGACGACGATGGCGAGACGAGCACGGGGAGCAGTTTCGGCGCGAGCCCTGCGTGTGATCTGCTGAGAAAGGGACGCGAGCTCGGACGAAACATCAGATCGCGGCAGTACGCAGCAACTTACGGGGAGGGATTACGCCGTGGACGGTGCGAGCCGCGCTTCGCGCAGCGCCACACGCGAGCTTGGAAGACCGACGGCAGCACGGCCAGGACGCAGAAAAGAAGACCACTCTGGGCCCAGGAGGGGCTCTGGGCCCAGGAGGGGCTCTGCAGGGCCCACTTTGGTCCGATCGACCCGCTCCGATACGATATCGATGCTGGCCGGCCCGACCCGCTTCGATTCCGACGCTGCAGCGATCCGATGCTGCCCGGTGGCGCTGCCGTGCATCCTGGCACAGCCGATCCTCGGCGGCGAGCGAGGGGGGAAGTGAAAAGTAGAAGACCTTCTCAAGAGGCACCGGGACTTATCAGAAGCCCTCGCGCCCACAGAAGTTTGCTTCTCAGAAGGCTGGGGGACTTCGGAACCTTCGGAGAAGGCCTTCTCCTTCTCACTTCCCCACCTCGCTCGCCGCCGAGATCCGCTTCGACGTCGATCCCGTGCCGATGCAGCCCGGTCCGAGGCGCGGCTCGTGTCCGACCCGATGTCTGCCGATGCGATGCTGACTGGTCCTGGACCTGCTGTCGGGGGGCCCGTTCGTGGCCGGGGCTGGCCGTGGCCGGAGGCGGCCTGGCGCTCCGTCTCTGTGACCACCCTCCAGCAGTGGCGAGGCGTCCTGGCTGGCCCACAGCCCAGACCCCCTCGAGTAATGAAAAAATCACGACGGGAGGTTTTTCCTAATTTTCGGCCTCCGGGGGCCCTCACCGGGCCTCGGGAGCGTCAAAAAACGACTCAGGATGCAAAGCCGGTCATAGGGAAAGGGTCGGGACCTCCAGGGGTCGACGTAATGAAAAAATCATGACGTCGGGGGTCTGGGAGGCCCACCGAAGGGTGTTCCGAGGACCACTTGTGGTCTGCGCGGCATGTCCTCAGAGCAGGTTTGGCTGGGGCTGTCTTGTTTTGGCACACCGGGATCCCGTTCTGAGAGCACTGCATTGCTCGGGCCGGGCGGAAGGTGGGGATTGGGAAAGGGGGGGTTACGAAATCTGCCGCATGCAGCTGGTCTCGGCCCCGCCGCCGGGCCCATTCCTCGATACATGGGCGCCTCCCAGCGCCGGGAGGCGCCGGGAGAATCAGCTACGGGAGCTGATTCTCAAACCCCCCTTTGCTATCCCCCCCCTTTCGCCCAGCCCGAATTGTTCTGAGAGCACGTGTCGGTTCTAGGACCATTTCGTGGTAGGCCTACGGGAATGCCGGGGCGGGGTCGGTTCCGGCTCAGCACCCACCAAGCTCCCCAATCCGACCCGAGGCGGCGGCCAGCGAGGGGGGAGATCTGAAGGAGGAGGCCTTCGCAGAAGGCGGCGGTGCTTCTCAGACGCCCTCGCGCCCTCTGGGAAATGCTCTGCGTCGTCGGGGAAGGCTTCGACCACTGCTCAGAAGGCCGAGGGACCTCCGAGCCATCTGAGAGGGCCCGCCCCTGCTCACCTCCACCCCCGCCGCTCGCCGCCGACCGAAGTCCCCAGTTTGCCCTCCATTCCCAGTGGGGGGGGGAGGGGCGTCGGGGAACAGTGAAGGAACACATACCGGAGGGCACCAACTATGCACCAACACCGACCCTGGCCCAGGATCACCCCGGGCCCAGGATCGGTGTACATATGCCTTCTTGCGCAGGGCAGGAGGGCGTATGCACCGATCCTGGGCCCGGGGTTCTCCTGACCAGGACCGGTGTTGGTGCATAGTTGGTGCCTTCCTGACCTGTGGAGCATAGTTGGTGCATAGTTGGTGCCTTCCTAACCTGTGGTGCCTTCCTAACCTGTGTTGGTGCATAGTTGGTGCATAGTTGTTGGTGCCCCCACCCCCCATCCGGAATTTGGATCCTCGGACCGGGTCGGGTTGGCTCGGCGGGTAGTCCATTGGGCGCCTCTCGCGACGAAGGGGGCGGGGCCGGAGCCCCGCACCAGGGGTGGCGCGCGCGGGGGGCGGCCTCGCGCGAGGAGGCGGGGGAGCCTCGCGGAAGGCGGGGGCCTGCTCTGGAGCCCTCCCTACTCCTGCGACGCCCTCTGGGATCTGGACGCCCTCTTGGCGTTCCCTGAACGGCCCTGGGCCCTGGGTGCATTTACCCCACGCCTGTGCTTGCCTGCTGCCTGGGTGCCTTTTGTGAGGGTGTCGTTTTCTGCTCTCTAGGGGGGGGGGCGGGTGGACAAAGGCAAGACACCGCGCAGGAGACCTGCTCTCTGGACGCCCGAGATGGGTACGGAAAGAATGGGTACCATGCCCAACAGCAGTTCCTCTCCCTTTTGAGCAGGGCTCGCTGTCCACGCCGCGGCGGCTCGTGTCCATTCGAGACAGGAGGCCGCCTGCCCAACAGCGGCCGCTGCTGGTTTGGGACAACATTTGCTGTTGGGCATGGTACCCATTCTTTCGGTACCCATTTCGGGCGTCCAAATGGGAAGCCCCCGCGGCCTGCTGGGAAGGCCCCGGCCTGCTTCGGTGGCACTTCATGGGGGCCTGGTATACCCTCTGAATTGCGTCTTCAGCGTCCTTTAGCGTCGATCAGCGTCAGGAGTCAATGAGATAGCGCCGAGTGAGCATCGGCTAGCGTCGATTAGCGTCGATTTAGCGTCGACCCCCTCCGCCTTCCCGAGGGTCGCCTCTCCCCCCCCCCTGGAGCCGCCCTCCTGTGCGGGCCGCCGGAGAGGAGGGCGCCCGAGCCGTGTGGGCGGCCGAGGTGCCTGGGCGCCAGCAGCTGGGCGCTGGCCCTGGGGCTCCTCGACGAGGCGGTCCCTCCTTCATCCTCGCCGTACCAGTCTCCGTCCTCATCGCCATACCATTCGCCATACCAGTCTCCCTCCTCGCCATGCCAGTCTCCCCCCTGCCTCTCCTTGCCTCTCCCTCCCCTTTTCCTCCTCCTCGTCCTCCCGGACTCCCCCTCGCCTGCCCAGTCAGTCCCCTCGTCCTCCAAGTCACTCCCTCCTCTTCCCCCCCCGCCTCGTCCTCCTAGTCTCTCTCTCCTCTCTTCCTCTTTCCTCCACCGCCTCCCTCGTCTCTTCCCCTCTCCTCCCTTCCTGCTCGGCGCCCCGCGCAGATGCCGCGACACGCGGTGGAGCCAGACTGGAGCACGTCCAGCAGGCGGAAGCGGCGGGGTGGGGGGCAATGGCAGGGGAAGGGGCAATTGGAGGAGGAGGGAAGGTGCCCCGGCGGCCAAACTCCCCCCCTCCCCCCCTCGAAGGGGACAGAATGCCATGCACATATATTGTCGTAGATCTGTGCGGACTTCTGGGATCTGCGCTGGGGCTGGGCCCCCCCCCCTGCGACGCCGCCGGAGCGCGCCAGGGAGGGGGTTCCAGCTCGGAGGGCCAAGTCTACCTGTTTCTGGACGACCAATCTGCCAATTGGCTCAAGGGCCCCTTCAAAGACCCGGGCGCCCGCGTGCGGCCACTCCGCTGCCGGCGCCAGCCATGTCGGACGTGGACGAGCAGACCAGGAAGCTGCTCGAGGAGAGCGTGCAGGCGATCTCGCGCCTGCCGGCTGGGCACCCCGAGGGAGGCTTGTCCGCGTTCAAGAGCCTGGCGACGGGGATCAACAGGGCGAAGAAGGGCGACACGCGGAGGCTCCTGGACCCGCTGGAGCCCAAGGCCCCCGTGCTGGTCTTCCTGGTGGACCTGCAGGAGAAGAAGAGGCTGTACGCCAAGCAAGTGGGCAGCGTCTTCGAGGCCCTGGTGCACGTGGACTCCTGGCGGCTGGCCGTCCGGCTTAACGAGCCGCTGCTCAACCGCCTCCCCGCGGAGCTCCGAGAGGCCCTGGACGCGGTCCCCACCCCGCCGCCGCCGCCGCCCGCGGCCGAGCCGCCCCCGCCCTCGCCTGCGGCCGCGGCCCCGCCCGCGCTGCAGGCGGGTTCGGCGGCCGCGGCCGCGCCCGCGCTGGCGGCGCCGCCGCGCGGCGCCGCGCCGACGCCGACGTCCCCGGGCGCTGCGCCGGTGCCGACGGCCAGCGCCGTGAACCTTGCGGTGGCGCACGCGCTGGAGCGCATGGGCGGCAGCGACGGCGGGGTCGACGGCTCGCCCCGCGCGCTGCCGGCCGCCGCGTGCGCCCCGGGCTCGGCGGCCGTGCAGGGGAGCGCCTCGTACCACCTGACGCTCTTCTCGGAGGCCACCGAGAGGATGGCGGGCCTGGGCTACAGCGCGGCGGCCGACGTCGACGAGGCGATGGTGGCCTTCGAGAAGCTCTACACGGCCGTGAGCAAGATCACGCGCAGCGCTTCCACGGAGGACGACGAGGCTCTGGATCGGTTCGAGCCGAAGGGCGAGCTTCTGCGGTTTTTGGACGACTTCGAGGAGCGCAGGCGCCTGCACCGCGCCCGCGTGGAGTCCGTTCGGAGCAAGCTGAGGGAGTTCGAGGGCTGGAGGGCCCTCATGGTGCCCTCGCCCGCGGCCAGGGCGGCGCCGCCGCCCTCGTCCGCGGAGCTGCTCCGAGCGGCCCTCGCGGAGGCGGCCGCCCAGAGGGCGGCCGGCGTGCTGCAGGTGCGCGTCATCGCCGCCTACGGCCGGCCCGGGAAGAACAACTACGCCTGCCTCTGCGTGGCGGGCCGGGAGGACCAGACGACGCACACCGTGAGGGGCAGCAGCGACCCGCGATGGGATGCCGACGCCATGTTCGCGAGCGTCCCGTCGGCGTCGTCCGCCGCGAGCATCGAGATCAGGGACCCCGACCTCACGGGCCCGCCCGCGAGCGTGCTGCCGCTGGACGTGCGGCAGCTGCCGCTGGGCCCGGGGCGCCAGAAGATGCGCGGCGCGGGCGGCGAGCTGGAGGTCGAGGTCGCGTTCAAGCCGGTGGAGGGCTTTCGGCCGCCGCCGCGCACCCCGTGGGACGACGGGCCGGCGCCCGCGCCAGTGCCCGCCGCACGGCCGCCTGCGCCCGTGGCGGCGCGCTGGGTCTGGTGGCTCACGGTGGACCCGCACCACGGGCACCCGAAGCCGTACCCGCTGGAGATTGCCGGGAGACTGGAGAGAGCCTATCAGCAGAGGGAGGACTCGCTGGACCTCGGGGCGGACTTCTGGGGGGCGGAGGTCCACTTCCGGCCGCGGCTCGTGCAGAAGACCACGAAGGGCACCCGGGACGTGGGTCGGGTCGAGCTCGGCAGCGCGGACGCGACGGTCGCCGTCTTCGTGGTGAAGCACGCGGACCCGAAGGTCGGGTGGCGCAGCGCGGAGGAGGGGGCCGAGGGCGCGGAGAGGCGGACGCTGAGGGAGGCGGACGTGATGCCCAACGCGCTGAGCCTGTCTTCCGTGCCCCTGTGACCGCCGGCGGCCTCCCCCAGAGGAGGAGGCTGGCGCGGCGCCTGAGGTGCGAATCGAAGAAGACACGACGGCATGAACAGATGCACTTTCGAAGCCCCGCCTCTGACAGTTTACGCTCATGCCTTTCTCTGTGCCTCTAGCACTGACGTCTCCAGTACAGTTGATCAGACGGCGGCGGCCCTGTCTTGAGAGGAGGCGCGTGGCACTGGTAATTCCACGTCCGTCACAGGTTGGGATTCGCCGTCGGCCAGGTCCAATAAAAAAAAAACGACCAATCTGCCAATTGCCTCTCTCATTGTCTAGCCACAAGCGTCTGTAAAAACATTCGGGGTGGATTCGTCTACAGACACGTTCGGGTCCTGTATTTGCGGTGAGCGAGCATAAGCTGCACGACTGTTGCGCTCCCTCGGGGGAAAGGAAGTACGGTTCAGGTGATGCGGCCAACAACTTATGTTGAGCACAGCAGAAGGAAGGGCTCATCCTGATCCTCCTCTCTCGCTCTCTCAAAGCCGTGGCGCGGCTATCCCTCTCCACCGCCCGCGGCGCCGCCCCACGCGCGGCCGCGGGACCCATACCGCGGCGGTGCCGCCGCACGCCGGCGAAGGGAGGTTCCGACGAGGGGAGGAGCAGAGGGAGGACCGCGCACAGTCACAATATCTTAAAACGTGGAGGCAGGGGGGAAGGCACGGGTTGAGCGGCGGGGCCACTCAAGGGATGTGTCGTCGCGGTTGCGGATGACGTTGTATTTTACCTGTAGGGATGTGCATGGCGTATTCCGTTGGTGGCGCTGTAGACGAGGTAGCGTACTAGAGGTAAGCAGACTGGGTTGAGACAATCACGTAGTTGTACCCGGAGCAGTCTGGCTTAAGGTTGACCGATTTTGTTTTTGTTATCGTGAGGCTACACAAGAAGATCACGTGGTAGTTCTTGTAGGGCGGTAAACAAGCCTCTAATACTGATGTAGGGAATGACGATGCGTCTTTCGTATTCGTCGTAGGAGATGCGGGCCGCCTCGTAGACGGCCTCTATGGTGCGGATCCGCAGTTGGAGTTCTTTGTCCCATTTGTCCCGGTAGTTGGCTGCGATCTCGCGTTGATTGATCACGTAATAGGACCTCCTTGGGTGGCCGTCGTAGCTCGGCTGGATGCGTAGCTCAGGTGGCCCTCGGGACCAGCTTCTCGTATCGAGACGTTGTTTGACGGTCCTGGGGCCCAGCGAGGGTTCCCCAGAGGCCGAAAATAGCAAACAACTGTCCGTCATGATTTTGTTCATTGCCCAAGGGTGCTTGGCGGCCTCGGAGGGGAGGGGGCCGGAGGTGCAGCACGGCCGACGGCGGCGGCCGAAACCGCCGGCGACAGATCCAGGTGCGGAGGGCGCCCGTCGGGCGAGTCCGTCTGCAGCGCTGGC